TCAACCCATTAAAGGTTTTCCCAGTTGGCAGTATAGGGATAAAAGCTCTTTTAAATGGATTGCAGGGGGGATAGAAATACAAGGAGAAAATTGTTACATGGATTAATGAAGAGTTGATGAAATTAGTCAATTTTAAAATAGTTGGCAAGCTGAATAAACTTATTTAGGTAAATATGTTCTCAAGAGATAGAAGGACCAGCATACAACACAGAACTTGTAAAACAGCTATTTAAAGAATATAAATAAGGAAATGCTTGAGGAATTTTAATATTCAATATATTGTCAACATTTGTGCTCTTTTTAAGATGCTAAAATAAATCATTGACAGAGTTCTTGAACATCTTGGAATTAGTTTTATAAAAGCATGAACATAATTCTGTGAAATATCTGAAAAATGGGGACAAAGAGAAAATGAAAGCAGCATCAATCTTTCTTCTAAATCCTAAACCTGAACAATGTGGTGCTCCTTGCCATTGTCTGTACGTTTGCACCAGCTGGTGGTATTATTCAGATTTGTGCTATGATTCATACACACACAAAAAACTGTGTAGGACAAAGAGATTGTTACTTCTCTTGTAATTTCCTACTAGGAGACTCTAAGCAAGGTGGCATATGTAATCAGTTAAATGTCTTTTGTCAGGGATGTCAACTGAACAAACTGATGATTTTTTCTGTGCTGAATTAAACAGTGTTATTTCCACATGTAATTTCTATGTAAGTGTCTCATACATAGACAAAGGTAATAAGTGCTGGCAACTATTTGGAACTTTGAAAATATGATTTACAAGAAAGTTATCTAGAGTGCTTTATTGGGAAGTTCCAAGAGCACTGCCAGCAGTTGAAGAGCAGTGATCCTGCCCCTCTGCTCTGCCCTGGTGAGGCACATCTGAAGTGCTGTGTCCAGTTCTGGGCTCCTCAGGACCAGAGGGACGTGGGGGTTCTAGAGCGGGTCCAGCAAAGGGCTACGAAGGTGAGCAGGGGTCTGGGGCACCTCACTCCCAAGGAAAGGCTGAGGGAGCTGGGCCTGTTCAGCCTGGACAGGACTCAGAGGGGACCCCATCAGTGTCAGTGAATGTCTGAAGGGAGGCTCTCAGGAGGATGGATCCTGGACAGGGGGCAGAGGGCAGAAACTGATGCACAGAAAGTTCCACATGAACACAGGGAAGAACTTCATTGTGAGGGTGCCTGGGCACTGGAACAGGTTGCCCAGAGAGGCTGTGGAGTCTCCTTCTCTAGAGACACTCAAAAGCTGTCTACAAGCTACCACAGTCCCAGTAGTGTGCTCTGGGGCACCCAGCTTGAGCAGGCAGTTTGGACTGGATGACCTCCAGTGGTCCCTTCCAACTTTAACACCCAACACATCCCCACACCCTCCCAAAAATTAGGACATTTTTAAGAACTAAAAAATAATAAGTGATGTAACTGAATAGCCATAGATATTCTGTTACATGCAAACTAAGTAAATATAAATTAATCCTTGGGGTAATGTCTGCTTTCTAGTTTCTATATGAGCAGATAAATTTGTGACAAAAAGAGCAATGTGAGGTCAAGCTGTAGAAAATTAAATAAAAACCCTGAGAGGACAAATGGACATTCTTACATCCCAATAAGAAGGAAAGATTTTCATCTTTTTGTTGGCATTTGTTTTAAAATTTCAGTTGCCTGAAAATGAGGTTGTCAATTGATTCAAAATATGATGGTGACAATAATGATATTTTAAATCAACACACCAACAGCTAAGAGTAGTAAATGAATAGCTCAGGTGCCTTGGAGTTATTTGGTTATTAAAGTAAGAAAGAAGCAACATTATGTACATCCCTTGACTCTTTAGAAACCTCCTTACATGGATAACTTCATCATCATTTTGAACAGAAAAAATATGATTTTTTTTTTCATACATGTCTTAAGGGAACATATGAATGAATAGAAAGATTACATAGGTACACAGTTTTCATTGTTTGTTTCTCAAGGTCCTTTTTCTTTTGTTTAGTTTCTTAATTTGACACTAATTTTGTCAAATGCTGTATAAAAATAGAGCAATGTAGTGAACATGAGATAACAATTCACGCCAGGATGCAAAGTTACTTAATTAAAAGAGAATATTTTGAAATCAGTAAAAAAGCCCTGATGGATCTAGTAGGTGTGAAGACTTTTTTCCTGTTTCTTAACTGAGACAGCATTGGCTATCCAGACTTAATACAGCACCCTATATGCTAGCAAGGTACAAGATGGTTGCTAACTGAGAAACTGCTTGTTCTGCAGCAAGGAAGCCAGGTAATAAGTTATGTAGCATGGTATGAATTTAGTTGCATGAAAAATGAAAACAGATTTAAGAATTCGGATGCACAGGTTTAAAGATACCCAATGAAACTAAAATCTTGGTAGTTGCCCAGATGTCCAGTTTTAAGTTGGTTTTTCTGAAAAAATTTGTTACTGTCATAAGTGAGCCACAGTTTCACTTAATAAATACAAAAGATTAAGAAATAAACTGGAGTGTTTTAGAAAAGAACAGCACAATGAGGCTACAGAGGAAAGCATAACCTCAGGGAGAAGAGTTAATAACATTTCAAAGTAACTTTATACTGACCAGTCTAAAGTCTTTAATATTTCTCCATGTCATTATTCTTGGGAGAGACACAGGACATAAAACTCTACTATTTTTTTGACATTTTGCTAACACTCAAGTATTAGATAATGTACACAGAGATTTAATTGATAAATCTTTTTATATTGGGTTGTAGAGGTCTGAGGTTTTCTTCATGAAAATAATTCTAGAAAATCTAGAAGGCAAAAAATGGATTTAGTCTGAATTTCTTTTTGATGTAAGAGAAAGAGATGACTCATTTAAATTACATTTTCTAGAAGTAATTCATGATAAACTGCTGCTTAGAAAACTAACATGCCATTAAATATAACTGATTACTGTAATCCCTTATATTAACCCAGTGACTACATGTTTTGCAATAAACATGATATTTAAAAGTAAAGAGAATGCTAAAAAAATCTTTGCCAGTAAAATAAGAACTCATGCTTAGAATTCACAGAGCATTTTTATAGTGAGGTGGTAATTTTCTGATAATATCTACATTTAATAGTATGTGTATTTCAGAGTGTCTTGATACATCTTAATTTTTCATGTAACTATACCTTATTTGATTTAGCACAGCCTTGCTTTGTCTATGGAGTTAAAAAGCAAGTAAACATCACTGTAGAAAGCCTGCAGTCTCAAGATTCACCTGGCAGAAATAATACTGGCAGCTCTACCACCAGTGCACTTTCCACATCTTTTATCCACAAAATAGACTGCAATGTACTTCCCATATGGAAAAACTCCATGGTGCTAGCTGTAAAAAAAGATCAAAGTCTGAAAACATTTATTTGTTAGGCTCTGTCTTTTTAACTATGTGCCTTCCTGTGCTTCTTTTTACTAGCAATTACTGGACTTTTACCTCTCAAGAGAAATTATTCAAAGTCTTTATTTTTACACCTTGAGTATTATTTTAACCATTAGACCAGTCTCAATTCCAAAGCCAGATGTTTATGTTCCTTTAAAATATCAAAGTTTGATGGATTTTCATGTTTAAAGATGCTTCACAGGAGATAGCAAAAATGGTACCAAATCAGGCTGCAATTTCCTGACAGGTCAGTGCGTGTAAACTGCATGTCAGGATTAATTAAGTACCAAAGTAATCCTCAGCTGTGCACTGCTTGCATATGCACCACCGAGGCAGTTTGATACACAGTGGCTCTTTGATGCCAGAGGAGCTGTTGGACAGCAGGTGGGAGGGAGTCTCTCCCGATGGCACTAAAGTGCACAGGTGGGTACAAATCACAGTCTCAGCGTTAGGGAAGGGCTGGATTCACCACTGTCCCCACCAGGCTGACATCTAAAATGTTTCTATGCCCTACTGTCTACTAATAAATTCCTTAATGCTTGAGTATTTTGCAGAAGGAAGCTGTGAATGCTAAACACCCTAAAGCTTGGGGGATTCAACCAATCTCTACTTCCAGCTTCAGTTGATATTTTGTTGTTAAAAGTCCACCAGCTTCCAGAGGTCCATTTCAGAATATAGACACTATCATGCCCTGGTAGGAATCTGATGTGCTGGCAGATGTCAAATAGAAATTTCAAGCCTCCTCAAGATTAGGCAGGGAGCTAAATCCTAAATTTAGACTATTTTTTTTCTAACTCCTTAACCAGTGTGATCATTGGATTAACTGATAGAAAGCTTATCAGCTGTTTTTTGAGAGGGTGTAATATCCATAATAGACCCAGCTCGGGGGTGAGTAGTCAGCTCTCTTAATCCTTGGTGGAAATAGGCACTTTTCCTCAGCCTAGAATTAAATACCAATGTGCCTAGGATAGGATGGACTTAGGTCTCCATTAATCTCCTGGAAATGCAGGAGGCTACCTGCAGACTAGTTACTGTAGCAGTCTCAAAATCCCTGTGGATACCACAAAAAATTTTTGTATTTCTAGGGATAAGGGAAAAAATAAATATATGCTCCCTGAAACTTAGTCTGTGTTTTAGTAATACCAAAACAAGACTACAATTAATTTCCCTGTATTTTTCAAAAGATATTTTGCTTTCCAGATTTTCTTCTTGTCTGTCCATCAACTCTAAGATCTACTATATGAAATTGCTAAGTACAAAACAAGAAATAATTCTTGTAGACATTTAGTAGGGCTGTGCAAATATTTCACCTAATTTAATAGGTTTTAATCTCTCCTCACAATAGCCTGTGAATATAGTAAGGACCTCAAAATGTAGTTTTAGTCTTTTTTTTCTACTAAGATAGAGCTTTACCATGGAGTATAAGATGCAACTAAAATATATTGACATTGATTTATCTGTTTTATATGACTCTGATGATGAAGAGCTAAAGTAAAAAAAGAGGTTTAGGAAAAGTAATCTGAAAACTAATCAGTGGTTCAAGGTAGGAAAGTGTTTTTATTACTTCATGATATTAACAGGGCAGAAAATATCAAGAACTGGAAACTAGCATTTATTTTAGTGAACATCTACTTAAGGTCTGACTGGCCAGCATGCAGGTATTTGAATTATCAGGGTGAAAAATAGTATATGTGAAAAGAGCCATCCTACTTGTACAGCGTGGTAATGCAGGACTCACTCAGACACATGGAAAGCATCCTGGAGCAGTTTACAAGGTCCCTCTCTTAAGAGAAGCAGGTAACATGGAAGATGTAGCTGAGGTCCATATGTGGACAGGACACCCTATCTTGCCACTCAAGGTTGCAACAAGAAGTCTCTGATGGCACAACACTACAGTGAGGATAGAGTGCCTCACAAATATTGAATTTCAGCTGGATTACAAAGTGTAAATTTTCCATGAGCAGGAAATTTGAAAGGTGAAGACATTACTAGTGTAGCTTGTATCTGAACTATGACAGTTCTGTTCAGAACTAGAAATACATCTGAATTTAACTTTGAATATTATCTAGATGACAGAGGTGATGAATGAATAGCAGCATGAAGGTACACTCTCATCTCATAATTTCCTGTTGATGGTTTCTAGGTCTGGGAATGCTTTCCTTTAATGTGAACAGCAAGCCTGTGTATCCTCCTTGTACACTACAGATAAATGTAACCAAGAGGAAAAAGACAGGGAGGTGTTAACACCTACAGCTTATGCTACTTGTCAAACACAATAGGAATTTAAATTATTTTCTGACTAATAAATGTATACTGACTCCATTAGGAGAATGTATAGGACTTGGGACCTAGAGGAAGAATATACAGGTTGTAATGACAGCATAATGAATGTAAAGTCATAACCTTTTCAGACTTGTTATATATAAATGAGATTGCAGTCTAGTTGAGAATACAATATGCAGTTGTGACCTTTCTTCGAAATACAGAAATGGTGCTTAACTGTGAAATTCATTATGGTCTCCAGTGTGACATAGCTATTCATTTTTAAAGTGATTAATTTCAGTTAGTATTGACTAAAGACTTCATAGGACTGAATATAGAGATACCATGGGCAAGAACAATGTATAAGCAAGTATCATCTCCCTAACTAAGCATTTGCAGGTAGCAATTTTGTCAGATTGTCCATACATAAAATAACAATCAAGTAGGAAATATAAAAATGAAATTAACTCTCTAATTACATAGACTGAATATGGTTTATAGTCTTTTCAATGAACCATGCCTCATTAGAAATACAGATATGATTAAAGAACTATAATCCTGAAGAACAATTGGACAAATGGAATATGCAGATATCTTCAGTTTATGAAAATTTATAAACAAAATGCCACATACAGCTTTATCTAAGAAATTGTTTCTTGTAAACTTTGAAAGGCAGGAATGTCTGGGTTTGCAAAAACCAGGGTCATCATTGGGAATTACAGTCTAAACTGCAGAGTTTGTAAATTACAGGGAATGGAACAGGTTTTAATACTATAAATTAGGCATGGAATTTGGATCATTTACTAAAAATTCTGCTGTGGCTATTTTATGCCTACAGGGTGAATAAATGAAGAAAAATAGTATTTAAAGGGACCTGTATCATCACAAAGACTAAAAGTCATTACAAAATGATGCACAGAGAGAACATTATGGTACGTCATTCTCTGGGCAGAAGACTAAATCAAATTGGATGCACCTCCAATGAGAAGACACAGAGCACATTCTCATATTTGTGTGTTACTTCCTCTTGAATTTGCTGATCAAAAAGGGACTGGTCTCTTACTGAGCTGTAAATCCCAAAGGATTAATGTTCATGTTGAACAGACTGGATCACCAACATAATGACTTCTTATGGCTAATAATATCTACAGTTTCATAGCACTCTTACCTTTACTAGCTGCATCTACTGAATGATATTGAACCCTCACAAAAATGAAGTCCTGAGAGAGCTTTTCTGCAACAAACAGAAAATCACAAGAAAAAAAATTTGTGTATTGGCCATTCCAATTGGCTTTAAAATCAAAAAGTAAAAATTATTTGCTGTTTCCTGGATGTTCTTTTTAGTGAAGTGAGATATGGAAAATATAATACATTAAAAATTTAGCTTATAATTGGTTTACTCTGTAGACAGAATTTAAGAACAACAGATAATGTGTTTATAATACAAAACTTGGGAGTAACTTCAGTGCTTATAAAAATAATAAAAAATATTATCTCTGTAAAGTTATTACTTCATTTAAACCAGGTCTCTTGGCACATCAAGAATCCAAACAGATGTCTTGAATTAATTGAGTAGACAGGAGTGATAAACTTTCAAAGCTCTGCTGACCTTGTAGTAGCTATCACAAATTGCAGTACCTGAAGATCTTATTCTTTTGCTTTTATGGCTAATTTTATCTTTGGCAAAAGGTCAAAATTAGTCTATTCAATAAGCAATTTAAAATTAAAAGCTCTAATAACATTTTAGTAAAGTTCTGTCTTCCTGTTACATAAAGTGATTAAATATATGTAATTATATGATTAAATTTTCCAATTACTGGTTTTCATGTGTTAAAGGAGTCTGAAAATACCCCATGCCATTGTCAGAATAGTGTGTATAAGTATATTTTCTTACACAGATTTACTGATGCCTTTAGGTTTTGGACTGTGTTTGGTTTTAAGCAGATTATTTTTCATGGACTTTACCTCAAAAAGTCTTAACTGTGATGTAATGTGGTATTTGTTCTGAAACAGAAAGATAATTTTTAAAAATAGCAGTGTTTATCTTTTCATGCATGTTGAACTCAGGTTTCTGAGTACTTCCAACAGGATAATCTACCCTAACTTTAATTATATTATACTGGGTTTATGTCATATAACTCTACTACTTTTACAAGGTATGTATGTAACAGTAGAAGCTCAAATGATATTTTTAAGCATAAATTTACTCATAATAACTAGGAAAGCTAAAATAACATTTGTGAAAACCAAATTTTGTGCAGTAAGGAGAATTTTTAAAGTATGATAAGGAAATGTATCCTATTGCCATGAATGCTCGATGTATAAATCATGAAAGTAAAATCTAATTTCTGAATTGACAGGACAGAAAAAATCTCCCAGATTTGTTCATATATACCTTTTCACAAGTCAGAAACAGGAATCAGAAATTACAGTTCAAAATTAATCTAATCAAATTTGATTTAAATCTAACCAGATTTGTTAGAGGATTCTGTAAAGACATTCCTTGAGTTTGAACTCACATTTATTTCATGAGCAAACACATCTGGGTTTTACATCAGGTTTTCCAGGGAGATCTTAGTCATGACTGTGAGGGTCTGTGTGCAGGCAACAACATGTGCAGAGATCCAACACCACAACTTGGTTGTAAGGTACAAGGGAACCTGGAGAGAGAAGATCAGGGAGACTTCATGGCTTGGCAGCACTTTTACATATTCTGTCTGGTGGACATTGTTGAATGAACTGATCTTAGTCCTTATTTAATAAAGAGTGTAATTTCCTGGGAAGTTAAACTGGAAGGAAAGTTCCATGAATCTAAATGGAAATTATTTACATAAATAATGTAATACTAGAAGAAAAGGTGAACTAGAAAAACTACTCCAGGAGCAGGGAAGCAGAGGATAGAAGAAAGAAGGGTTGAGCTGTTTTATTAAAATATAGTGATCAAAGATCACAAGTAAAGCTTAATGTTTTATAAGATGAGATGAATAGCTTTCTAAACCTAGAGACTTCGGGACAGTGATCTGTCTCTAAGTCTCTAGTGATCATAGGTCTCCAGTGATCCTTTATTAATGCAACTGCTTAAAAAAAGAAATTTAATACATGCAAGAAAAAAAAAAATCCTGTGTTCCCCTTTGTCAGCTTCATTTTGTGAAGTTTTTTTCAAATCTTATGCGTAAGAGAAGGAATAACAACTCCTGCTGTATACATACAATTGCTTGAAGTCCAAAATGCCTGAATCTCCAGATTTTCTCTGTGGAATCCATTTAATCAATTGCTCAGGTACAACAGACTATTGCAAGCTCATACATATTTAATGATGTAATATAAGCTTCTGGACAAGTTCATGAGGTGACAGTGGTCCAGCCTCAAAAGAAATTGAGTTGCAGCTCACTGTGCCTTTGCACTTGGCCTAAATCCCTTGAAGTGATGGGATGCTACAGAGAAGCACAACAGTGTACTTAGTAGGAGGGCTGAGAACACTGCATTTGAGGCATCTGCAGCTTTCTCTAGCCTAAAGACTAGGAAGAAAACTTGGTGTTCCCTACAGTAGGCTGGAACATGAACAAAAGGGACAGCAATACATAAAAGAAACCTTTATAACACTGACAACATGCACAGTAAAAGCATTCAAAAGCATAGTAAGGGTTTAAAAAATATTGTGTGTAGGAAGCCAGGGCAAAGAGACAAAACTATCAGGCCTAAACAATGAGTTCTGCCAACTCTTCTTTTGTTCATATATTCACTTGTATTCAGGATTCTTTACTGTGTGCTTTACTGACAGCTCAGTGCTTGGCATAGGCCATGCCAGCAAATTCCAACACTGAGCCTCTGTCAGAAATCCTGCTTCTTCAATGCTCTGGACAGGTCATGAGCGAGCCTGATATCTGCCCAAGCAGCATGGGCACAGATTAATGATTACCTTCCCAAGTTTCTGGCCATTCTAGCACAGCCCTGGGCGGTTGCTGGATGCTGTCCAGTCAGCAATTTTCCAGTTCAGAAAGCTGTGGGTAGCTGTGAAGAAGCACAAATCACAGCTACCTGTCCTTGGCCTGTGCAATAATAGCCCATGGTCAAAAACCAGCCAAAGATAAAAGATATCCAGGAATTTGGCAATGCTATTTCACACTAATGTCTGACATCTTTGCTGTTTGTAAGGGCACTTGGCTAAACTCACTGTACATTTTGGGGATCACAGCATGGTACTTTATTCATATTAATAAGTCATTATTATACTATGTGGAGATTTACTGTACAAAAAATTTTTGAACCATGTCAATTAATATTATTCCAGCTATGAACTGAATGTCTGTTTTTTTAAATATAATATGCCTGAATTCTTATCTGATGATTCATAATAGATCCAAACCACTTGTTATGACTGATGACAATCACAGGCTTGCTCATAGTAACAAACAATACCTGTTAGATTTGAACCCCTCTCCTTTTACTTGCATTTTGTGGGACATTCTTTAAAGTAAAAGTTTAAGTGGAAAAAAAATCTTCCCCAAAGTAATATGAAGATGGATGCAGCCAGTACAGCTCTGCACACTATTTTCTTTTAATGTTCTTTATCACTGTGCTGTCAGAATATATTTAATATCATGTAAATTCTGATCTAAGAGAATTAGATTCATTCCATATCCAGTGAATAACTTCAGTGTTTTGGAACAGTCAAGTCTTTATCTTGTAAAATTAAGATGCTGGCCCAGCATACCATTAGCTTCAGATTATTAATGAAAATTTAAGTACATTAGCACAGTAATATAATGGGGCCTGGTCTTCTTAAAAATTCCTGGCAATTTGGTGAAGAAAGCTGTCAAACAAAACGAGCCTGGTAGTCACTAATAATAGTATATATTTAAGCTTACATGCTCCTACACAGTTTGTTCTTTATTAACTGATGGATTGGGCAAAGTTGGTTTATGAGAGAAGCAACTTGGGCATCAGCTGTCCCAAGGATTGCTGGCATACATCAGGATGGCAAACAAATGGGTTTGTTACCCAGGCTAGTGGGTATGCATGTGTGGCTCCATCACAAAGGCACGGGAGGGCCCATAGGTACAAGGTACAAGGATTTTGTTGGGAGAAGTCCTAAGCTACTCCATCCATTTCCATTTGCTGCTCCTGCTGAGACATTCAAACTCCCACTGCAGTGCTGTGACTCACTGAAGAACTGGGGAGAAATGCATGTTGCACAGAGCTTATCAGTAATGTCAGCACTGTAACAGAGCAACAGAGGATGGGAATTGAAGGTGGCTGGGTCAAGATTTACAGTCTCCTGTATAATTCTTCAGTTTAATCCTTACTAGTTTCCTGCCTGCTTAGTAGGAGAGTTTGGGATTTGGGGAAGAAATCTTCGAAACTTACATAAACTGCAGTTTTGAGCTGTGCCAAATATGGTATAACTTTGGCAGAGATTATTCCTTAATCTTAAAATTACTAGAGTGCTGCAACAACAAAATAAAAAATGAAAATGTTTACAGCTGATGTATATCAGATTCAAAGTGTATACTTAAAGCATGCCAGTAAAAAATATAAAAACATCAGTTGCGCAAAACTGATTTATCAGATCACTGCAGCTCAAAATTGAGAATCAAGTAAGACAGACATAGATACATATATTCTTTTTTGGTTGTCAGGGTGAAAGAATCATTTCTAGGATGGAGAAATAGAATATAAGTCAGTCATATAATATGCCAAGGATGCATGATCTCCAGAAGCATATTTTTCCTATATGCCATTTTATGGTGGTTGAGAGTAAAATCAGAGAATGTCTTTGTTGATTGGCTAGAATCAGAACAGGATTTAGCAATTGCAAATGCTGGAAATACAAGAGCTGAGATTTCTGTACGTACACATTTTTGGGACAGTCAGGGCATATCTCTTATCAAATAAAATTAGTTCCAAGGTCATGCATGAGTATGGGGGTGAAGATGTTAGTGGTTTTCATGAATACCAGGTCACAATATTTTAAATAAATCATCTACTACCAAACACAGTTTGATTGAACCCAGTAATATGTAACCTACAACTTCACTGAATGCTTGTCTAATCTTGCTGACAACTTGACCAATAATACTACTATTTATAAAATGACCTGCACTAAAAGAAGTGAAGTAGGGTAAAGCAGCTGGCTTGCTCTGACTGCTGCAATAATGCTGGACAGTTTAGATGTGATCCACACATATCAAAAAAGTTTGGTTTTTTTTATTTATTCAGTTTGGAGAACAGAGTTATTTAATATATTTGCTCAATTTTATTTTCTCACAATCCCACGTGCAGAAATCGTTGTCTCAGGCTGAACTGTGCCATCGCTCAATGTGGTGACATTTGAACAAAGTTTTCTCAGACAAACATACACAGCCAGGACCCAAGAGGGAGAAGATGACAGGAAAGGCAGCAGCAGCATTACAGTAACCCTAGCACTGAGAAGTTTGATCCTGAAGATCAGTACTAAGGAGAGCTTGATATAATAGACACATCTCAAACATTATTCCAGATAAGGACCTAACAGTAACAGTAAGTCTCCAGAGAAAAACATCTGGGTCCTCCCTTGCAATAGAGCTCTAAAGGAAGGAGCAGCGTGGTAATTTATATTAGCACTGGAGGTTTGTTATGTGTGTCAAGTACCAGACATCACAAAAGAAGTAAAAAAAATACCATGAATATTAAACTATTAGCAACTTAAAGAAGTCATTACTCCTCTAAGACTCAGCAGTAACACTGCAGTCATTTAAATACTGCTGTCTAGCAGATGTGACAGCTGGAGTACACACTGTTAAAGAGGCACCGTAAGCTTTGGGGTCACTTTGTGTACTCTATGTCCTTCATGACATGGCAAGACCCAGTAAAAGCAGCAGGTTTGATCAGAATATGTGAGGAATCGAGAAGGAGAAAAATATTTGTATTCAAAGGTGCCTTTGGCTCCAAAGTTCATTTTGGACAGAACTCCCAGCATCACGGTTTGATGGATACACATTTTCTGAGGGGAACATCAGCTCTCTGCTAATCAGTTACTTACAAGAGGATTCAATAGCACATAGGAAAAGAGGAGATAAGTATACTACAACAGTAATTGTTCTTTGAGTTGTTACGTTTAGAATGGATGCCAGACTCTGCTCCCCAATTCACTAGGATGTAGATGGTAAGAGAAACCTGGAAGATTTTGGTTTTCCAGACTTACATCTTTTCATACAAGCAGAAATTGGTCTAAGGTACTTCCATGTGCCTAAGTTGCTGCTCTGGGATCTCCAAGCTTGTTCAGATGAGGGACAGAGGTCCTGTATAGTGGAAATCATGTTGACAGCAAGACTTTCAACCACTGTAACTTTCAGAATGTAAATGCTGATAAAAAATGTGGAGCACGAGGCAACATATTTCCAAGAGGGAAATGGGCTACTAAACATCATCTGCAAGAGCCAAGGCAAACACAACAGCATCTATGCATTCACCATTAGGAGAAGGCAAAGGAAATGCACCTAAAACCTTCATTTTGTGTTTGATCTGTTATTACTGAAGGAACCCAAGTACAGAGAAAAACAGTGGATGGGTTTCAGATTTTAGTTGCTTTGCCAGAGTAATTTTGAATAGCAAAGACCTGTTGGAGAAAATAACTTCTGAAGGCTGGTGCAATGATGTTTGCATAAGCTTGATAGTAAAA